CTGCTCTCCCAGACGGCCTGGCGGCAGCTGGCAGCACCTTTGCCCAAGCCTGGCCTTGGGCTGAAGCCAGCTTGCTCCCTCCCACGGCCAGGGGCACCGTGCGAAGCCCCCCACCCACCCTGCCTGGTGGACCTGACCCACCATGAACGTTCCCTGTGGGTTCCTCTGTCTTCTCTCGGTGGCAGCTTGGCAGCTGCCCACCTGCGCGCCGACGGTAGGTGGCGGTGTGAAATGCCAGAGCTGGTGGCGGCGGTGGGGTGGGCATTGGGGGGCTGGGCAAAGGGGCAAAAAGGGGCTATTCCACAGGGGAAGAGCCGAGGGTTTTGCCCCCGTCGAGGGCAGCAGCGTGGCTTCCCCGTCAAAACTTTTTCCAAATGGTGTGTCCGGACCCAGAGCGGTGCGGGCAAAGATGCCAAGACCTGGCACAGCCGCCCACAGCTGGATCGGCCCCTTGGGGTACGTGCAAGGCTCGGTCAGGGGTGCAATAACCAAGATTCCTTCGGTTTATAGAGATGCCCGGTTAGGATGTACCGAGCAGCTTTGCCCGACATCAACTATCTCGGTGCTGGCTTGTTTTCTTGCAGACGTTTCATGACCCAGCTAGGGAACATCACCAGTGCTAGAAGGGGCTGGGATTTGTGGAGGAGAAAGAGGGTGGAGGAGGAGGAGGAGGAGGAGGATTGAGGGGTCCTTGGTACTCTCTGAGCTTGGTTGTTTTCTTGCAGACGTTTCATGACCCAACTAGGTAACATCATCAGAGTGTGCGGGGTGTGTTTTGAAAGCATCAAAAGGCAGAATCAGGCAGGGGGCCAAGGGACACTGTAAGCCAGCCTCCCCCAAAACTTGTGCTGGTTGTGCGATGACCACCCAGCTGGTCCAAAACACTCATAAATCTCCATTTTTGATTTAGGCAAGCAGATCCTGAATATTTTCCCCCATTTTTCCATTGACAGACAGGGCCTCCCCCAGAGAAGAAGGGGGTTGGGCTTGAGAAGGGGCTGCCCACTACGGAAGGTAAGGATGGGATTGGGGGTGAAGGGGCCCCCTCCACCATTAATTCCGCCATCTCCAGTCTTTAAATGGGTTGGATGACACTTCCCCTCATCCTCATCCCCACGGGCAAGAATTGTAGCCCACCACCTCTTAAAGACGCTGAACGTTGGGAATGTTTTTTTCCGGGGAGTGGGAGCAAGTGAGTGTCCCACAATTTTTGCCTGCTTTAACATGGGATGGGGAAAATAAATGGGGTGTGGTTTTATGGGGTTCTGGGCTGTGGACTTTTAATGTTGCAAGGTGTCCTGAGTCAGATAGATAGATAGATAGATAGATAGATAGATAGATAGATAGATAGATAGATAGATAGATAGATGGATGGATGGATGGATGGATGGATGGATGGATGGATGGATGGATGGATNAACGTCTTGAGCAAAGAGAGAAGCCGCCGAAATTACGACGCTCAGCAAACGCTCCGGAAGGCCTGGCCGGGTCCGGAAGCCCAGCGACCTTCGGCCCGAGACCCCTTCGACCCCCTCCACGTCCACCGCCAGCAACGGAGCGGCCAGCACGCCTGGGAAGGTCAAGGCCCCCGCAGACACTCGGCGGAAGACCCTTTCCACTCGGATCACTTCCGAGCTGCCGGAAGGTAAATAAAGGCAAGGAAGGAGCGTGCAGGGAGTCCTCGACTTACGACTGTCTTTTTTAGCGACTGACGTCCGAAGTTACAACGGCACGGGAAAAAAGAGGACTTACGACCGTCTGTCACAGTTACGGCTGTTGCGGCATCCGCTGGGGGTGGTGGTCACGTGATCAAAATTCAGACGCTTTGGCAACCGGTTCACACTTATGACGGTCAGAGTGTCCCGGGGGTCACTCTGATCCCCGTTTTACGACCTTTTATCCAGCTAAGTCAGTGGGGGGAAGCCGGTTTCACTTAACAACCGTGTTATCGACTTGCACAACTGCACATTGATTCGTTTAACAACCGGGGCAAGAAAAGTCGTAAAACGAGGCAAGACTCAACAAGCGTCTCCCTTAGCAATAGAAATTTTGGGATGCTGTTACGGTCGTAAGTTGAGGACTACCTGTATTGGGGTTAAAAAAAAAAGTATTCTCTTTTTGAAATATTTTCAGGGTGTCCTAGCTCCTGTGGTTCCCCTTCCTCCTCATCCACGCTGTTCTCTTTCCTCTCCCCCCCGCCCCCTCCCAGAAATCCAGACCCCTCTGAGGATGATGCCTACTGGCAGGAATTCCACAAAACGCCCCCGGAGTGGTATTCAGACCAGGAGTTCCGGAGGAGGCAGCAACGCAACCTGAGGATGGTAATCTACTGTTTGCTGATCATGTCCGGAAGCCTCCTGGTTCACTTGGTATCCTACAGGTATGATTCCTTGCAGGCCAGCTCACTGCCCGCTGCTGGGAGTTCGATCCTGAGTGGTTCAAGGTTGACTCTGACTTCCGTCCTTCCGAGGTCGGTCAAATGAGGACCCGGATTGTTGGGGACAATAGGCTGACTCTGTAAACAGCTTAGAGAGGGCTGTAAAGCATTGTGGACTGGTATATAAGTCTAAGGGCTTCCTTCCTCCCTCCCTCCCTCCCTCCCTCCCTCCCTGCCTCCCTTCCCATTCCTATTTCTTCCTTCCTTCCTTCCTTCCTTCCTTCCTCCCTTCCTCCCTCCCT